CCAGCGTCATATTCCTGCTAAGGGTTCAGTGTCTGTACTTGTCACCCTGCAGCTTATTGTAGCCGTTGTACTATTTCTAGAAAATTCTCTCAACCTCACAAAAAATTCCGAACATTTTGAAAGTGAGGAAACAAAGTAAGAGTTTGCTTTATTGAATTTGACTAAGCGACACTTACTGAATAGAATTAACTAGCCAGGAAAAAAGCGTCGTTTCATAGTAAATTTAGAAAATTTCAAAAAAGATAGAAGTTCTATTTCCCAGAACTTTCCAAACCTTTTGAAAGATCTTTCTGCTTAGAAATGTTGTTTTCGTGGCATGGCTGGTGGTCCTTCTTTGGTTGATTACCATACTCGTCTCCTTCGTCGCCCTTTTCTCCAACTCCTACAACCTTTTCCTTCCCCATCTTGTCTGGACGGTATGTTGAAATGTTTAAGCGCACATATCCGCCCGTTTACGATAGCAAACCATGTTTAGACCATACTTTTCATTGTATGTGTGCTTTGCTCCATAACACTGCTCCTCTCTGAAACTCGCCCTTGGACAATGATTTTTTCAAGCGGAATCTCCGTTCTTCTTGGTATATCCATAGTGGCCGAAACAAAATGTTTTCTTGCTATGCGTAAATGGTTGCGTTAAACATTCATCTTCGTCTCATCACAAAATTTTGTATCGAATGTGTTTTTGCTGCAATGTGATCACTCTCACTTGTATATATTTCACTTTACAAGTGCTTTATTGATTTGTTCGTTCTACAATAAATATCATTGACTTGCACAGATTATGTGTGGCATTTACTTTAATGTGAGACTCAAGCGATTGAATTATTTTCTCTATAATAATTTACTTTCGAATGTGTAGGTTGCCATAAACAAAAAGTTGAGATCTGGTTCCATTCTAATAGTCTTCTCAAGAGAAAACTTCTACTTGTATTCGTACATCATTCCCAAGCGAATTCATCACTCTAAATACTGTTTTGGTTCTAGTCTGAAATAATTTGGCATTTGTCCAAGATGTTGATAGCATCTGGACAAAACGCCATGAACATCCTTTATTCCAGTTTGACTTAGGCCATAGAACAGTGAAAAGTTTCGATAATAGACGCGTGTTGATTTCCTAGCCGGTCCATTGCCTCTAGGCGGTGCATATATTGTGTCCGTGAGGTTTTAAGTTTTTG